CCTGGGCCTTCCGCCCCTGCAACGGGGCATCCAGTGCAACCTGGGCTAGCGCACTCTCGTCGGCGACCAGCGGGCGGGCGCCAATGTCGACTCGCCTGAAGAACGACGTGTTTGTGGGCCATGGCGCTCGTGTGCGAGATCTGATCTGTGACCGCCGCCGCCGCGCTCCACGCGTCGAATGCTCGGTGCCGTGGCGTCCGCGCCAGAAGCGGCTGACTCTCCGCCGCGGTTCCCCGTCCGAGCGCTCTGGCCAACGCGGCTGCCTCTCCTGACTCGGGCTCGTCGTCGGGGGAACCGCCCGCGCCGCGCGCGCGCAGCGGTTGAAACTTCGCGAGCTCTGTGTAAATGAACGGGTGCGCGATGCCCCTGGCTTTAGCGCGCTGTACCTCGGTGGCCAGCGCATCGGTCTTCGCCGACCTGAGCGAACGGTGGAAACGCGCTGGCGCGCTGGGGCGAGGCCGCGCAGCAGCCTCGGCCGCAGGGTCTGCGGAAGGTCCCTCAGGGTGATCTGGGCCAGGCCCGCGCCGATGTCGACATGTTCGCCCGTCGGCGCTGGGCTAGGATTCTGCAGCAACAGAAGCGAAACAACGCGCCGAAGCCCGCGCGGGCCCCGCGGCCCCCGTCGAACTCGCCTTGGCGCCCGCCGCCGTCGCGCGATCCAGAGCGCGCCTCAGGGCGCCCTTCGTCAGCGCTGGCGCGGCGTCGGTGTCCTTCAAATCCTCGAATTGAATGTTGGCCAGATCTTCTGGCGTCGTCAGCCCATTCGCTGCCGGGCAAATCAACCGCGCCCTTGAACTGGATCTCACTCCACTTCTCCACTTCGCGCCCGCAACAATGTCAGTTTGCAAGCGGGCAAGCGTCGCCAACGCAAGCTCAGCGCCACGCGGCGCGCGCAATAATCCCGCGCGACGGCGAGAGCTGCGCGCCAGCTGCAGCCCGCGCGCCTGCATGCCGGCGCGCCATGGGGACGGTGGGGGAGCTGCGCGTCAGCTGATGGCCACTATGGGCCACAAGGGGCACAACGCAGCAAGCTCCCCTGAGCCACCCAGGACCTGGGGCCCCAGCGAGCGTGGTCGCAGTGGACCCGAAGAGAAGTGGCCGCTATGGACCAGGGAAGAGGCCTCATTGGGCGCGAAGTCGCGGCGGACCGAGGGAGTCCAAAGCGAGGGCCTGACGAGAGGGCCCCAATGGGCAAGTGAACGCAGCAGGCCGCTATGGGCCGCAACGAAGCCACTTTATGGGCCGAGCGAAGCCACTACGGGTCGAGCGAAGCCCCAGCGGGCGGAGGGCCGAAACCCGACACGCGGCACGGTATTTATATCCCGCCCCAGTGCCAGGCGGAGGAAGCACGGCACGGCACCGCGCCACACGACGCGAGCAGCAGGCGGAAGCGGGTCGGCCAGCGCGCGGCCGACCAGCCGAGCGAGGGCGCCCCCGCGGCCAGCCGCGGGGTCGTTACCAGCGCGGGCGGATTTGTGCCAAGCGATAACTCCGTTATTCCGACCCGTCAAAAAGGCGTGGGGAGTGGGGGGTTGGGAATGTGGCGGGGGTCTCTAAGAAGGGGAAGCGGTGCATCTAATTGGGGGCTTAGTGACGGCTACCTTAAGGCTAGCTAGGAATCTCTGGGAGCCTTTTGGGGCTTCGTCGGGGCCTTTGGGCGTGTGTGTGGGGCCTCGTGGGAGCCTCTTGGGCAGTCTCTGGGGGGGCATGGAGGGCTCGGGTGCCGGACGGAGGTGTGAGGTTTAGGGGGTTGGGAAGGTGACGGGGGGGCCTCGTGGGAGCGTATTGGGCGGAGTCGTGGGGGAGACAGAAGGCTTGAAAGCTTGTCGGAGGTGCGAACTGCGGGGGTTTGGGAAGGTGACGGAAGGGTTGTGATGAAAGGGGGGCCTTCAGGGCCAGATGGCAGACATGGTGAAGGCGCCGTCGAGAAGGTCGTGGAGATGAATTGAGATGTGGGTCGAAAGACGCGGGGTGTAGGGGGTGGGGAAGGTGGTGGGGTCTCTAAGAAGGGGGGCGAGGCAACGTTGCTGTGAGTCTCTGGGAGCCTTTTGAAGCTTCGTCGGGGCCTTTTGGCGCGTGTTGGTGGCCTCGTGGAAGCCTCTTGGGCGGCCTCTGGGAGGAACATAGAGGGCTTGGATGCCGGTTGGAGGTGTGAGGTGCAGGGTGTTGGGAAGGTGCCGGGCGGGCCTCGTGGGAGCGTCTGGGACGGCGTCGTGGGGGAGACAGAGGGTTTGAAAGCCTGTTGGAGGTGTGGGATGCAGGGGGTTGGTAAGGTAGGGCGTGGGGTGTAGGGGGTCGGGAAGGTGGTGGGGGTCTCTAAAAAAGAAAGGCGAAGCAACGTTGCTAAGGGTCTCTGGGAGCCTTTTGGGGCTTCGTCGGGGCCCTGGCGTGTGTTGGGGGCCTCGTGGAAGCCTCTTGGGCGGTCTCTGGGGGGAACATAGAGGGCTCGGATGCCGGTTGGATGTGGGAGGTGCAGGGTGTTGGGAAGGTGACGGGGGGG